AACATACAATCGGGCGAATAAAATAATAACAAGAGATAATGAATTGACAATCTACAAATTAATCAAAATTGTTCACAAAGATCAAAATCGAAATCCGACACACAACATAACCGAAACGCAAAACTGACTTTGAATTCAGAAATTGCAAACGAGAGTACACAAGTTCGCAACTAGAGAAAATAATTGCGACGATAAGATCAACAAACATGAGCTGACCTTAAATTAGGGATCTAGGATAAATAAATTCGATAGAGACATTAGGGTCGTAGATTGAGACTACATGACTTACAGTTGAGAGATCGAGAAGATGAAACTGTGAGGACGAGATTGTTTCAGAAGCGCACGATAGCGAAGATGCAGAGAGAGCGAGCGAGACCAAAGGGTAAGGGGCAGAGGAAACCACAAGGAGTCTTTAAAAGAGAGAGTTCGGCTTTGTTTGGATGGCTCCTTGGCTGCTGCTTCTCTCGCTGCGCGTCGCTGTCGTTTTAGTATCATGGACCTCTGTTTAATACCCTTGGATTTTTATTTAATTACCAAGACTACCCCTCTCCCCTCTCTATTCCGATCCCCTCTTCAATCCGTTCCGTTTCGCCGAGCTGGGTTCTCGAGCATTTGGCACACGAAATCCGCGTTACCCTATCACTAGTTCTTCGGATGAACGACATGTGTACATTCATTTCATCCGATGGATAGGTTTGATGAAGGAGCCCTTTCGTCGGCCTAACTTGTGATCCTGGCGTTGGAGGTTTAATTCGGCAAAAAAAAAAAAAAAAAATTCAAACCAAATTAACTCCGCTGCTTTAATTTTTGGAATATGACCTCATTCGATTCTCACGTCGATGAGTTGTTGGAATATTTTTTTCATTCAACTATTCCTATGTGAAAGTAAAAAAGATCTTTGATCCGACTGTAGGGGCTGAGCAATTAAAAACAATCCAACTACAAGGGTATTTGTGAAATTAACAACGATTCTCCTAGTGCCATCTATGCCGGAAAAATTCTCATCCCACTATTCTTTATCATTTTAATAATTCCATTCAAATCGAATGTATGATGCAGTATTTATTATTTTCCAATGTTAGTTATGACAAGTATCACGTTTATTGAATATTCCAATATAATTTTGTGCTCCTTTTTGGATTAGTATCATGTTTACTGTCAATTAAACAAATTATTAGCACCCCTTTTCATGGAACCAAAAGTTGTTTGGATAATTTTTTTAGAAAGTCCATTGTAAAAAATTCATTTTGCTTATGTTATTGCTCTTATATTTGAAAGAAATCATGTGCATTTAATGAAGTAACTAAACTTGTCAAATTTCTATATTACCCTTCTCTTTTCAAGACTACTTGCCTTTACTGTGAGAATACATGTACCTATCAAATAAATATATAAAAGATTAGTTTATTTTTAACATTTTAATAATTGCTATGAAAATAATAGTATTTTTAATATTTTAAAAGCACCATAAATTGTTAGCTTATCGGGTTAGGCCAAAAAAAAAGAAGTTTATTTTTTTCTCTTAAATTTTATCTTAAACATGCAGACACAGATATTTATATGATTTTTAAATATATCGAATATTACCTTATTTTTGTTATTCAAATATCAAATTTCGTATTATTTATATGTTTTGCTAATGAGTCTAGTTTTACATAACAAAAACTACGTGGTGTTTATCACCAAAAAAAAAAACTACGTGGTATTACATGCAAACCTTTTTAGTTATTATATATTTAAAAGTTTTTTTTATTTGTACCATCCAAACAACTAACTAAACTCACTTTTTCAAGAATATATTTAAATATAAATCTCGTTATAATAGCCAAGCTAAAAAATTTAATTCGTTTTATCTTGTCGTATTTAGTTATTTGAGAGTAAAAATAAATTTTTTTCAAACGGCAAAATGTCTTTTATGCTACTTTTTTTTTTTGAATCCCAGGACGCTTCCATTGGTCCAAATGCAAATTCTGTAATAAATCGGATCAAATGGAGGCAAACAAAATACGAGGATGCCCAGATCTGAACTTCTACGAATGAACCGGCAACTCGCGGGGGGCTTTGAGTATGGTTCAGTCCTCCTGAATCTGAAGCAATCATGGTCGGATCCAGAAATCCAACTAACTGGAGGCTATAAATCCAGTTAGTGAATCGAATATTACATATCTGTTATCTAATTTTTTTAGTGAATCGAATATTATATTAATCTTTTTATAAATTATTTATTTAATTTTTATACTGAATAGTTAAAAAAAAAAACCTGGGTAATGCACATGCATTGCTATCATGGTATAATCAAGAGAAGGTCGAATATTGGTTTCGATGTCAAAGGTCACGTGGCCTGATAATTGACAGTCCCTTTTTTTTTTTTTTTTGGCCTGATCAATAATTGGCAATCCTAAAGCAACCCGGCATCTTCAAATTAAACGAAACAACACCCCGCTAACGCAAACACGTCATATTTTTTGGGCCTGAACAAGCATGTCATCTTCACTCATCACAAGTCCACAAGATTCATTATGCCCATCAGCTTATAATTATTGATCAGAGAGAAACAGTACGGAGCTCTACCTCTATCTGCGATCGCGCATGTACCACCTTGACTTCTGAATTATTTCTCCGTTGGTTATTTTACAGACACTTTGAGAAGGGCATACCTGGGTATTACTCTTCCCGGTCATAATTAAAATTTAATTAATTAATTTGAATAGAATAAAGATAATAGTTAATATGATATATATATTTTTTAAATATTCTAACTGTCTTTTTTAAATCTGTCATTTTTTCTCTTATTTGATTATTATTGAGAAATACTGATAAAGGAAATTGATAAATATGTAAAATATATCTTACATATCTGACCAATATCAACTCTTAAATTAGATCATATATTAAAGATTGGCGGAGAATTTTACGTTTTAAAACTTGTGGATAGATCTGATTTTTTATTTGGCTAAAATATATTTTCATTCTCGATTTTTATTTCAATTTTTTTGTCTCTTAATCTCATTTAATTTTGTTCCGCTGTATGTTTCACTCAGGCGTTCAGATTTCACTTGTGATTTGTCTAGCGCAGTTTATAAAAAGGATCTGATAATATAAAGCATGGCATGATAACGTTTGATAAGATGTTGATATTATGCAGTATTTTCTGTGACACTGTATAAGATATTGGGTCTGTGTAGAATAGTTTATAAACAGTTTTTTAATAGTAATTTATAGAATATGAGACAAACATGTGAGATGAGTTTTATCTCGGTTAACGTGAAATGTGCTTACAGGGGATTTTGATTGTGATGCCAAACAGGTACATTATAATGTAGGAACTAACATCATCCAATATTACTGGTAATATTGTTTGTTATTAAAGAAAACAAAAAATTAACTCCTTTAATAAAATCTCCTCTGCTTAAAAATACTACTTCTGGTCCTCAATATGATAGTTAGTTTGACTTTTAATTCTGTTATAAATATGAAATTCCAATCCACTTTGTCTCTTATATTTATTCATTTTTTTTAAAATTGTCTTTGTAGTAGTTGTCATTATTAAATGTTCAATTAAATAGAAGTTTTAACTGATATGTAATCAGTAAAGGCATTTTAAGAAAGATAATACATTATTATTATAAATAACTAACACAATAAATTTTTTTAATTTATTTAAATTTAAATTAGTTAACTATCTTTTATATTAAGAATAGAGGATAGTATAATCCTGACTTCTTACCATAGGCAGCGCAGCATCTTTTCGCGATAATCACCCAACACAAAAAGGCAAACCAAGTATATAAGATTTTATTTTTTGGTTATTGACCAAAAAAGGTCGTCTTTTATAATTTCGCAACACTGGGATCGTCTTCTTTTTTTTTGAATGAAAAAGGACAACAGGAAGAAAATACAGAAAAACAACGCAAACACAAAAACAGCCCCTACAAACTACTCCCCATCCGTCTCAGATAAGTCGGGAAGGGGGTGATCACTGGGATCGTCTTTGAAGTCATCCAGTGGCCGGAGAGAAAAAGGCGATATAGTGATGACAAGTTGTGGGTTGCGAAAAAGCGTATTCTTGCTCAAAAAATAAACAAGCATCAAACTAACCAAGGTTTAACTAAAAGTTTCGAATTCAAGTTTCAAAACTACGGCCACCTTAAATATTTGATAAGAGAGTTTTATGTAAGGTTGTCAAATACATGAATTTAAATAAACTCGTGATAATGATATAAACTCATATTATAAATTTGGATCATAAACTTGTAAGAATTTACTTTTATTAATAAATTGGTATTAAAAGTATATAATCAAACAATTCATATATAAAACATGAAAACAATTTTATTTAAATATATTTTAAATTTAAATAATTGAAATTATATCCATTAATATTAATAATTTATCAAATTTAACAAATTTTTTTTATAAAATTTATATATAAAGTTACTGAACATAATCAAATAAAAAAATTTAATATAAATTTAAGAGTAAGTTAACATAATTTTGTAAGTTCAAAGCGTAAAAACGGTAAAATAGGTAAATTAACTTGTGAGTTTAATTAAGTTTACAATTATCACAAATTTAAAAGCGAATCAATGCAATTTTAGTAGCTGAAAATATAAAAATATTAAACTTGTAGAGTCAATTTGCAAGCCTGATAGTAGTGGTTTTACGTGACTTCGTATCCATGTGTGAATTTAAAATACATGGTGACCTATCAAATTCGATGTCGCGGCACCCCAACCCCTTGAGCGGATTCCATCGGAAAAATTAAAAGGAGCACCCGGTGCTCTGAAGCCAGACTTCATTCTTGTGCTTTCTTATACAAGAAAACAAACTAGAAAATGAATCAAGCAACAAAAACTAACTAAAAGGGAAAAAATTGCTGGGAAAATACCAATAGGTGATATCAAGACAAATAGTCAACAAAATAATGTAATAACCGGAACAAGTTGCCAAAACGCGTCGTTCGTGCGGCCTTAACGCCGACATAGGCCCGTCGACACAACACTGCACAGCACTTCGTCGTTAAGTAAGCAATCACTGATTTCGGCTTAACACTCTCACTTGTAATTTGCAAAAGGCAAAAATACTCGAGCATGATCCTCCAATCTGCTTCAATTCGGGGCGGGGATTGAACTTTAGACTTATATTCTGAAATTCTACCCAATGGAGAGTATTCGTCATGGTACTATTCGACCTCGAGATGGGTTTCCTGACATTTACAGGAGGGAATTGGGCTTGTCCCATTCTCGCGAGTTTGCTCGACGATTTTTAGCTTCCGAGGTAACAAATTTTTATTTTATTTTCCCCAATTTGAATACTTGCCAATTCCTCGCGATAGTTTTGATTTTCCCCCTTCTGCTTGATGCGCTGTTGAAAGGTTATATGCAGTCGCTGCTTGTAAAGAAGGTGAAGTGCACCGTAATCATGGTTCGTTGATAATATCCAGCTGTTAGCCACTAATATCTAGTAAAATTGAAATCAACATGAATAGGTTTCTGATTCGCATTTGGATCATGGAGGAGAAGAGGAAGTTTCTGACTCGCAGATGGATACTCCGGCTGACCTTAGTTTCTGATAGATGAAAGGAGTAAAATCCAACACTATGAATCTAATGTGGTGTAATTTGTGCTTTGTTGAGTATGCTATAAAGTGGTATAAGTGATTCCAACGGCTTACAGAAGCTAATTTTGTTTTTTCTTTTCTTTTTTTTTTTTTTCCTTTTAAATCTGCTTTGATTTAATCGCATGGGATAATAATCAGTTCTATGAATCATCCGCCACTTTCAGCAATTTCCTTATGATGATATTATCACTGGATAATTTCCTTATTAGGTTTGCTTCCCTATGCAGGCCATAGTGAAGCAAATGAATTTGTATGGGAAGTTGAATGGTCATGATGGGTGCGTAAATGCTGTGGAGTTTAACTCTACTGGTGATCTTCTTGTCTCAGGCTCTGATGACCAGCAAGTTATGTTTTGGAATTGGGCATCCAAAACTAAGTTGTTTGAATATCCTTCTGGTCACTCTGACAACATATTTCAGACAAGAATTATGCCATTTTCTGACGACCGCAAAATAGTGACTTCTGCTGGTGATGGAGAGGTATCACTCTCCGCACTGAATATTCTTTTTGACTCCTCAGGCCAACTAAGTTTGTCCAGTAAAAATTGAACCAGTGTCATTGGGTTAAAGTAACATAGAGCTCACAGCTTCTTTTCTTTCTACTCTTCTTATTATTGTTATTGCTCTGCTTCTTGCCCCTTCTCTTCTTTTTCAATTTTCCAATATGCTGAAATTTCGTCAATAGTAAATGAAGAGACCCCCGGATTTAAGCATAGCTGATAAGCACGGTTTGCATGAATTTTTCATTTTTTTTTCTTTTTTAAATACTTTTGTTGTTTGATTAATTAGCATGTGTGGCCACTGGTCCACTGTATGAGTGATACTACCTCCGATTTTCAATATCGAACATCGGAGTTAGTTGGAGTTTGAATTTGGTCTTAAATATGAGATTTTAATTCATTTTATCTCTTAAATTTATCAATCATTCTCTAAAGTATTCCTATCAAGGATATTTTAGGGAAATCAAATCATATTTGTTATAAACAACTGATTTAACTAAGTTGTTTAATTTCTCCAAATTAATTAAGTAGCTCTCATATTAAGAACCAGAAATAGTATTTAGAAATTCTGAAGTAAAGGGTGCAGCTTTTGGCCGAGCCTACTTTTATCAATGGTCTCTTAAAGTCCTCCTTCATTCCCTTATAATGGTAACTGGGCTTTCAGGTAAGGCTTGGCCATCTCTCAGATGATGGTACGATAGAAACTACTACGTTGGGGAAGCACCAAGGTTCTGTATACAAGCTTGCTTTGGAGCCAGGAAGTCCTCATGTACTGTATAGCTGTGGTGAAGATGGTTTTATCCAACATGTTAGTGAAGTGTCAAAGCTTTTTCCTTAATGAAGCTTCCCTCTATGCTATACAGTCCAAGTTATTAGTTTTGTTTCTTTTGCAGTTTGATCTGCGAACTAGTTCTGCTACAAAACTTTTCCGTTGCTCCTCATTGACAGGGAATAATAAGCAACCTTCGAACAGGATAAGGCTGAATTCTATTGTGATTGATTCAAGAAATCCAAATTACTTTGCAATTGGAGGATCGGATGAATATGCGCGCGTTTACGACATAAGAAAATGCCAGTGGGATGGGACAAGTAATTCAGATAGACCTGTCAACACTTTTTGCCCTCATCACTTAATTGGCTCAAATCATGTCCATATCACGGGATTGGCTTACTCTAGCCTGAGCGAACTCCTTGTTTCTTATAATGATGAACTCATCTATTTATTTCAGAAGAATATGGGGTTGGGTGGTTCACCTTCCTCTGCTACATCTGAGGAGTTAAATACACTTCAACAGGCACGAGTTTACTCTGGTCATAGAAATGCACGGACGGTTAAAGGAGTGAGCTTCTTTGGCCCTAATGACGAATATGTCTTGAGTGGCTCTGATTGTGGTCATATTTTCATCTGGAAGAAGAAGGATGCTAAGCTGGTGAGATTAATGGTAGGTGATCAACACGTTGTAAATCAACTCGAGGCCCACCCACATATTCCCCTTCTTGCTACTTGCGGTATTGAAAATGATGTGAAAATCTGGGCTGCTCAAGCGAGTGATATTCCTCCAGTTCCTGAAAATGTAGAAGAGGTATTATGTGCTAACTTTGCTTTTCCTTTCTTGGACTATGCGTTTAATGTCTAATCAATGCGCTATTTCTGTGAATAGATAATGGAGGCAAATAAACATGGGAGAGAAGATCGATCACGTGTAACTCTTACTCCCGATGTTGTAATGCATGTTCTGCGCTTGCAGAGGCGGCAGACATTGGCATATGGTGAAAGAAGTTATAGTAGAGCTGATATTGTGGGAGATGAAGAAAATGCAGGGGGCTACTTCTTGGGAGTTGTAGACGATGCCTCTTCTGATGAGGAATCTTCAGGAAATTCTAGAGATTGTAACATCAGCTAGGCTTGAGGAGGTGGGTATGATTGTTGATGGCTGCCTAAGTACTCGGGAAAAAAGAAAATTTTAGAGCTTCCGACTGTTAAGGCAGAATCATGTACATACAATATGTGTATGAACTTAATTTGATGACCTCGTCATTTGTATAGAGTTTGGTTGAGAATTGTGCCTCCTCCTTTTGGTGTGTAGCCTTTTTTTCCCCTTTGTTTGAGGCATGGTCACACGCTTGAATGTAAGCACTTCTTTCAGCAAAAATTCAAATCATGATTTATCACGTTGTGAGTTACTAACCTTTCTGTTCGAATTAACTCTTGTAGATGTGTGCAATTTTTGAGTGTCGTTTGTTCCTTGTACTCTTAATTTATGTGTTTTTTCTAATAGATGTGTGGCTCATGAAGAATGTTATTTGCGATTGAACAATTATGATTGAATGAAGTTTATGGTGTGAAGTTTCGAGTTACAAACAATTGGAAAGTAAAAAATGGAATGACAGTATATGAAAGAAAAAGGAATGGAAGTATTTCCTTTTGTCTCTCGCCTATTAAAATTGGATGGAGTTTGGATTATGGTTTTCTTGTTTGTATCTCCGGTTCATAAGTGCTTAAAAGTGTTTTCATACAAGTCAAAGTGAAAAATTATGATAAAAAAACTACTTATAAACTATTTGAAATAAATTTTTACAAGTTACAACTCCGTGAAACTTGAGATTTACCACATAAATTTATGCTCATGACTGATCCACGTGCAATAAACTTGAGGAAGAAATTTTACTTCCCGAATTCGTCCACTACACTGTGTTACATGGCCAAAAAGCTGTCTGTTGAGGGATTAAAAATGTTACAACACAAATCACATATGCAACTGAAATATTCATTGAATTAAAAAACCCAGCTTAATTGAATACACAAAGTTAGAGTGGAAATTATCATTACAAAGAGCTATTTTACAGTAGATGTGCACTCACTGGTGCAAAAATAAAACATATGGAACAGGATTTCCTAGCAATTTGCTCGGTCATCTCGACATGATTCCTCCTCCGAAAATTCCATTGCCGTGAACTTTGCGGATGACAATGTCGCAGTTCATAGGTTCTTCCACCCCACACTAAATTTCATATGCCTTGTGCATTTGCTTTATACGTGAAATGGATTAAATGCCAATGCCTCCTCGTAGATCATATTTTTTATTTGCTCTTCTTCCAAGGGATTTTGCTCAAAATCAAAGTTGAATGGCTCGGCGCAGACTGGCTCATCAGCCGCATCATGCAGCTTAGCAAGATATGGATGCGCTAACGCTTCTTCAACTGCACGTCATAAAACAGATCGAAATGAAAATTCCCACCAATTATACACCTCGGCAGTTTTTTTTTCCCGGTAAAAATGAAATAGAACGTGACTTGATACACAATGTCAGTCAATCTCTTCTTTACAATTCCTCTGTTTCAATCCTCATGTTATATGTGGAATAGACTAATGCTACAATCAAACAACTAAGGAAACAGAAAGTCCAGTTCAGCAACTTCCTGTGCATGTTTTGAGTAAAATTTACTACTATTCAAAAACACAAAGTCGTATTGGAACCCACTATTGACAATCTTGGTATCACAGAAATCCCCTACGCCTACTACTTTTTAACTTCCAAAGTTCCAAGATCACAAATTGCGCTAAAAACTGAGGAGTTACCTGAGGGGATGTCAGAATCAACATCGTTTCATGCATATTTCTCTTTACGTTTTAACCGTGGAATGTTTCTAGTGTTCATATCACATCTTGGCATTATAGTTTCTAATGCTAATCCTATTGCTTCTTTTAAAGCAAGAAAACAAAAGGAAGTCCACTAAGTTCAAAGTAGTAGCATAATATAAGTGACGCTCAAGTGCAATTCGTTTTTATTCCTCTTTCCCATCCTCCATAAATGATTCTTTTCACTCTCCTTTTCATGCTCTGTAATATCCCACATCCGTTATCGTCATTGTATTAAGCAGATTGAAGCTAGCGATACTTATACATTACAAGGGCGGCACTTCTACCAAGTAATATTAAGTGTAATTGGAATAAAAGGAAAGCCATGAGTGGGGTAAGTTGGTCAAATGCCAAGTGCCAACAATTGATAACCCTCAACGAGTGCAAGATTTGAGGAACGAGGGACATGACTATATCAGAAGACTGCATCCAAAAATTTATGTCACTTACAAATGAATGTAAAAAAAAGCATGAATGCAGCCTCTAAATTGATCCAAAAATCCAAGATTTCCCATTCTAATGCAGCTGCCATGATGCTAAATACGAACCTGAATGATTTTTATCTAGCAACTAAAAAGCATAAATGGGTGATAAGTAATAAGAAAATTACCTGTAATTCTTCGTGTAGGGTCAATGGTCAACATTCTATCAATGAGATCAATGGCTAAGGGATGAACATGAGGGAAAACCCTTGCTAAAGATTGGCGAGGATATTGGGGTAGTTGTCGGATATACCTTCTTGCATCCTCATTTTTCACTAATCCAATGTCAGCCTCAGTTGGCGTGCCGAGAAGCTACAGAGAATAACCAGGGTAAGCATGCATCCAGAAATTACATTATATACAAGTAAATTATTGATTGTATTTGTATCTAGCGTCTTTAAATAACTTGAAATATATGATTCTCAAACTATATGAGTCCCTTAGATGAATATCATATGCTATTTTATGTCAGTATGCGGTAGCCAAGATACATGTATTTTATCATCTCACCTCAGTCAATAGGCGCATCTGATGTACATGATCCTTGCCAGGAAATAGAGGCTTTTTATTCATCAGCTCCATGAAGATGCAACCTACAGACCACACATCTATCGCAGAGGTGTAATCTGAGGAGTTCAATAACAATTCAGGAGCCCTATACCATCTAGTGACTACATATTCTGTCATAAAATCATTTTCCAAAGTCGTTCGTGCGAGGCCAAAATCGCATATCTTCAAATCACAGTTTGCATTCAGCAAAAGGTTACTTGGCTTCAAATCTCTATGGATGATATTTGCAGAATGTATATACTTTAGCCCACGAAGAATCTGATACAAGAAGTACTGCAAGAGCATCCAATCATCAGCAATATATTAGAGCGATATACTGCGGAGAAGACAATTACGATACTTGGGGGAAAACAGCACTCACTTGGCAGTGCTCTTCCGAGAGAATTTGATTTGAGCGGATGATGTGGTGAAGATCAGTATCCATGAGTTCCATGGCCATGTAGACATCGGTAAACTCTCTACGCAGGGGTGGTGGAATCACGTCTCTCAGAGCAATTACCTGTGATGCACAGATTTTAGAACTAACTTTCAAGTCCCAAAAGGGGAGAAAATTAGAGGATATTACGATGAGGCATCATATTCCTCTAATGATATCTGGCAAGTAATTTGGTAAAAGGCTTTTAAGATCTTATAACATGGGTTTCTCAAATCAGAAAGTCATGGCCGACCATTGTCGACAATAGGAGTTAAACACCGTACCAAATTTTACTATTTATTATGGACATCTATATCGCTACAAGCTCACTCAAAATTAACCATTCACATCAATCAAAAGTGGGAAACATAAATAAGTAATTTATTATACGATTTCCAGAGAGCGAAACATAGCAGCAGACAACAAGATAGACGCCAATCATACGCCATACCTGAATTGACTTGCCAGAAAGAGATACTCACATTTTCATGATCCAAATGCCGAAGAAGCTTGATCTCACGGAGCGTGCGCTTAGCGTCCATGAGATTGTCAAAAGCGTTCGCTATCTTCTTAACAGCCACCGATTCGTTAGTCTCCGTATTCAGCAGCGAGCTTCATCACCACATGAACATAATAACTAACTTTTCAGTAACTAATAATACTGCCCAGCATTTTAAAAGATCCAATGTATGGAAAGTCAAACAAAACAAAACACATGGCACAAGGAAAAGATGAGGGGAACATGTGATGAACGAAGGAGTACCAGACGATTCCATATGCACCGCGGCCAATTGGCATAATAGGAGGCCTGTACTTCGCTGAAACTTCGAAGAGGTTTCCGAATATGTTATACTGAATAAACTGCCCTCCGTGAGTCGAAACAGCCGGAAAATCTGCGCCGTGGTTCGGATCCACCATTTTTCTTTCACTCACGAACTACTGCACAAGAAGCTTTTAATCTCTCCCTCTCACTCAAAATCTTTCAACACCGGCCCCCCCTCTCTACGTGGGAAGTGTGAATAAGGAAGAAGAAGAAGAAGATGGTCTGTTGAGTGAGTAGAAGAAGATCTTAAATATGATGATAGGAGAGTCGTAGTGTTTGCCTGGTCTTGCAGCTGAGTTCGAAGTAGATGCAACGAAGACGACGCGAAAACGCGCGAGAAGAAAATCCAGGAACGCGCTTGGAGGAGAAAGTAATCGGAAGGCTCATATTATAGCCGCCTCTCATCAACGGTCCATGTTTGTTCAATTATTTCAACTGTCTATCATATTGTTTATCGGGAAGCTTTAGACTTTGTAAGCCGTCAGCCATGCCATCTCATTTTATCTTATTAAAAATTTGAATAATAAAGAAAAAAAACATGCTGGAGCCTTTTGCGTTTAAGTCAAGCAATTTTTTTTGTTGAAAAAACATATTACATTTCCCCCCCCAGAAAATCACATATATACCTGGCTTGCTACATGCCATTTGTGTCATCTGAATGAACATATACGAATTGAAAATCTTTACAACTGATTTAATAATTTATATAGATTATAATACTACGTCCCGTCGATTTTATATTTAAAATAGGAGGTAGTATTACTTTAGGAAATTTTTTTTATTGTATGGAGACATTTCTCTTATTGTTAATTAGCCATATTTGACCAGCTTTCTTTCAATTAATAGCTTTGTAGAAGAGCGTGATAAGCTATGAGAAGACGTATTAATTTCGGTTGCAACAACATCAATCATGAAACTACTGTAAAAAGCATCAACAATTAAACCACCACCACATGTTGAAATTTGAAAATATTTTTGTACCAAACAAATTTTTGAAAATACGTCCAAAGTGCCAGCGTATAAAATTTTTCATTAGTTTGTGTAATGACAAATTTTAAGCCACGTATGTGAACAAAATAAATCTATCCTTAAATGGCTTTAATTTCTTTGGTTTCTGCGAGTCAAGCATTTGATGCTTCTCCGTCAGCTAGTCTTTTTTTTTTTTTTTGGGGGGGGGGGGGGGGGGACAGAGAGCTTAGCTCTGGAAACTTGTCGCTTCTTCAATGAAACGCCTCTTCTTGCAGTCTTGGGGCATCATCAGGGCAATGTCAACACTCGCACGAACGAGAGAAAATTAATTCCGGTCAAATTGTATTAAGTAATTGAATAAATAATACATAAAATATTGCACTCTAAATCTGCAAGGTCGACCCAAGATAAAAGTTGGCAAGGGGCTGAAAAAAATATCAATAGGCGGAATTTGTCGTTTTAGTTGGAATGCATGTGAGGAGTCAATATTTTACCAAGTCCAAATTTGGGTCCGGTCAAGAAGTAACGTAACTGGCTGCTTACAGAAATGTCAAAACTTGGATCAGTCAAAAACCTGGCATAGTCAAAGGGCAATGTCGCATAAAATTTAGCAATTCCTCATTTTAATAGTCCTGCTCTGTTATTATATAAATAATTAAAATGAAGTAGGAAACTAAGGTTTATTTTAATAAATAATTAAAAAGTTGTAGCGACTCACTTAATTTTCAGCTTCCTTTCTGAAGTAAAAATCCCAAATCCCATAGGATGACAAGATGCTATTAAAACGATTTGGATCTTAATATTTGATATCATCATATCAAAACTTATAATCATATAAATGTCAATACACAGTCCGGTAGACATTCCTCTTTAGGAAGGCAGGAACAAGAATGTCAACTCTTTTTTCCATTTCCCTTCTAACATTAAGTACTTAAAGGATGTATATTCCACCTCTATTCAGTATATATATTTCATTTCTCTTTCTCTACTTTCACTGTACTCTCGGCATGGGATATATGTTTCTGGGTTAGGTATTTAATGTGAAGAAATGACTGCTGACACTAAAGAGATGCCGGTAGAAGATGTAGGGGTGGTATCAGTAGGTGAAGACGGGACAGTGGGCAGGTTTTTTGAAACAACTGTTGAGGGTTATGTGTGATGGGAGAAGACAAGGGTGAACTATGATCAACCATAGTTGATTGCATAAGATTGTCTAGATTGAGAATTAATGAAGAAATTTATGATATATAGTGGAAATAGTGCGGGCTTAGCATTTTGTAGCTGTTGGTAAGGTATACATACATGGAAATGTGATTATCTCTCTCCGAACCCTAGCTTCACACTTCTTTTTAGTTGCATCTTTGGGCTTTCTCTTTTAGCTCAATTCACTATCACTCAGGCCTCGTGTCATTAAACTTATCCCTTCATTTGAGCAATCCGCTGACATTTCCACCAAGCAAAGTTCCAAATTTGATCACTTGAATAAACTTTGGCTCTGTCTTTAAACAATGGATCAGAATAGCTACACAATCATTACATATGATGTCTAGCAAAGGATAAACACCAAGGAAAGCCAGCAAGCTTCCATTCATCATGCCCAGAACCAAGATGGAACAACCACATTTGTCTTGAAAAAAGAGTCTGTGAAGAAGTTAAGAAGAAAGCATGAAGGACTCATGCCCCCGGTGCCCCCATGACAGCACTCTTGATCCTTTGCCATAGTATCTGAGTACCAGCAGCACTTCCTTTGTCTCATTTGTTAGGCTTCAGCAAACCTGCGACACAATGTTTCAAGTTTATCGTCAAGTTTGCGATCAATACAGAAGTCAAAGCAGCTTCCTGAACCTAATATCATTAGGCAATTTATAATCAATCTTTGTCAACTTATCCAAGCTCAGAGAGCTTTAGATGAGACTTAGTATAATCAGCAAAGAAAGCATCTTGATCCTGATAAGAGAGGAAAATCCTTTGGTTTAGGTGACTTGATATGAATATCATTTTTCAGCCTTCCAATTTGTCAAGCTCAAACCATGGTATTGTGGAAAAGATAATGATCATACATACGTTAGCATATTTCTCAACGAAAGGGCAGAACGCAGGGCCAGTCAGAAGTGCCTTATCAGTTGGCAGTTGCAGGAGGCCATCAGTCTCTCCTCGTCAAGAATTCCCTACAATATAAGGAATCTGTAAGAAATAAATACACAGCTGGGCATCTCATCCGTCAATTAACTTGCAGCAATAGGAAAAAAACTCACTTGAAGTATGAGTTGTCAAATACGAGAGGGTTATGGGTCCATGCGCCCTCAAATCCAGAACGCTCTTTGTGGCACCTTCCTTGGAAGAATGATTAGTAGTGGAATAAATAAGAATCGCACAACGTAGCAAGGAAACTTCTGAGTTAAGCAGATGTATAATATACAACTTCAGCAATCATAGCCGGCAATGTGAACATCCAAGGGTGTGACCACCAGAGAGAGCAACGATATCTTTATCACTAGGCCCCATTTGGGTAATGAATACTTGCCTCAAATGGTCACAACCTACAAAAATAACGTACAATGATTAACCCCCCATTTATCAGCTGTAGTGTTTCTGAACCGTTCTCGAGTTTAGAGTACTTACCTTGTGCTGCATTAGGCAAGCGGTCTTCTGGAGATGGTTCTGACTTGTCCTATATATTAAGAGAGGACAGGTGTTAGCCTTCGAAAATGCCATAATTTTACCCAAAAGAAAAATGGCGATACAGTACAATGCAAAATATTCATCGGACACAAAATAAATAAAAAAAGATCTTAGTAAGGAAATAAGACAAGTCTTAGTCATATGGTTGTGATTATGCTTGGAAAACTGAAGATGAATGCCTACATCTGCATCCAGAAGAAAGTCATTGCCTAAAGCCTTGGCCATGCCGCCAAAGACTAGCTCGGTAATTTGAAAAGAGAATTGGAGATTTCTTTACTCTTCAAAAGAGAAGATAATGTTATCAAAAATGAATTCAGAATAAACATTGGACAAATTTAGAAAAGTAAACCAATTGAGCGAAGCACCTTCACCCAGCCGCGTAGTCCTAACCAAAAGAGAAGCAAGTCAACACTAAGACAAGTTGTTTCACATTAGCAGTGCTGCACTATCATATATGATGCTGAGATGAGCGACCGAAAACGGGCCACACCTCTCTTCCTGGGGGGAACGGAATTTTAGGCCCACCAGAAACGTCAACGGCAACAACCCCAGCCAACTATTTCACGATCACAAATATGCAAATGTCAATATACATACATAAAAAGGTAGAATACTGTTCCGCCAGAAAGGAGTCACGATCACGATCATATCTCATGAAGTACGAATTAGTACTAATGCGTGGGTGCGAGGCCTGTGCATGAAGAATATCGCATACCTTGTAGAAATCAACAAAAGTCAAATTGGCGAACTCCTTCTTAATGTCTGCCAACAGATTAATAGCTATGTCAAGGCCATTGTTAGCATTATGTTTGCATTCCTCTTCAAGCTTAATGGCTCCGAAGGGGTCACCAGTCTTCGTCTTCACGTCATCGGTCCCTACAGAGTGCCATCTACATGGAAAGTCCAATAGACAAAACGCTACGTAAATCAAGCGACACTGATAATCCAGAACATGAATTAAGTTTCATATACAAGAGCAGATGCATACGCTAAACGGAGCATGATCGGAGCACATTGCTTCTCTTTGATCAGAGCACCAATCTTACCCCGGGCCTCCTGACAGTATTTTGGTAAATCAGGAGTGACATTTGGGTAAGTCTTGGCCATGGCTAAGATTCTGCAGAAAACGAAAAATCAGTCACATGATCCATGTTTCTATTGCATATATGAAGGGACTGAAATGTGGATATGATAACTGATGATTAGATAGTAGCAGACAGTTAATGAAGAATACAAAACAAGCCCAGCGAAAGAGAAGTTCAGTATCATTCAGGGAAAAGAGTGAAATGCCAAAAAAAACCGCAGAAGCCAATGGAGGTTTTCAGGGTGAGAAAAATGGAAGAAGAAACTAGCACAAGAGTGAGTAGGAGCAAGGCACGAGCAAGGAGTGAGGTCGTGATAGTAAGTTCTAGAGGCTTGAGATAACAGAAAATCGTCGGATATCTTCGAGGTCTAATGGTCACCTGTCATCTGGAAATGTACGGCTAGGATGGATCGAAACATGCGGATTGACCGGACAAATGAGCCCGAAAAAGAGAATGGTGAAGGGAATGTTTCTGAATAGAAGGCCACAAGTGACCGGTTGAAACAGGAAAACAGAATTGGATGCCGTGGCATTAGATGGCATCGCTACGGAACAATACGGCTACGGCCATAACAGAAATTAGTTGGTCTAATCA